GCCCCATGAGTGAGAGAAAAGAAAAAAAAGAAGCAGAGCCGGTCTGGAAGCGGACCCATCACTACTATAGTGCATTAATAGATTTGTTATTTTGGTTATGACGGGTGTATGATAATTTCCCTCAAAATATGTCTCTAGTACGATAATCCTACATTTCTCACCTGGCAACGCTGATGATGAACTACTCCAACTACAGGTACTAATGCGCATGCGTTATTTCAGGGGCCGCACGCTTCAGTAGTCTGGTAGCCTTTTGTACACAAATGCATTTCTTAATGAGTTCTGAGTATTTTACGTTGGGAGTGCGACGTGTAATGTTGCCGGGTGTCTGAATACCATAACATCTTTATTTATAACGCACTTTAAACGACCTTAGGGCTAAAGTGATGCACAGTTACAGTGAAAACAATTCGTATAAGCAAAAACATCTTAAAGCAACACACCCTTATATTCGACAAATAAAATAATTTGAATCAAAATTAACTCAAATTAGATTAAAAATCAACATCTCAGGTTGTGTCAAAAGCCACGGGGAAGGAATGAGTTAAGAAAACTGGATTTGCTCAAAGGCAGGTCATTCCAATTTTTAGGAGCAGCAGCAGAGAAACCAGTGGTGTAGTCTGCGTGATACTTGGATATACAGAGTATACCCATTAGAAAAGCCTAAGAATTTCAGTATACCCACTTAAAAGTGCCCAATGATACATGACATATCATTAGGCACGTGTCATTGATACGTTAAATGGCAGTTACGCTTCCGTAACTATCGGTATGCAGCGCTTTGCTTTGATACTGTTTTATAAATTCTGTAACATGTTTTAATACAAAGCCAACTGTTTTACAAAGTTTGTTGTTCATTTATTCAAATGTAAGCATCAGAGAAATTTGGAAATGTTCAATATGCTTAAAAATACATTGATGATTACATTGTACTAACCAGTGTACTTTGGTTTCTAGTATACCCACTACAACAATGTAGACTACACCACTGAGAAAAACACAATCACCTCAAAGCTGTCATTTACTTTTTGGGACTCTCAGTAGCAGCTGGCCTGCTGACCTTAGAGCAGTGGTTCCCAACCTTGGTCCTCGAGGAACACTGTTCCACATGTTTTAGTTGTTTCCCTGCTCCACCACACCTGATTCAGTGATTTAATTACTTCAAGTTCTGCAGAAGCCTGTTAATCACACATTAATTCAAATCAGGTATGTCAAAGCAGGGAAACAGCATGCAGGATAGTGTTCCTTGAGGACCCGGGTAGAATGGCAGGGCATGTAGGGTATAGCAGCTCAGTGAGATAAGGCAGGGCAAGACCCTTTAAAGCTTTACAAATATATATATTTTTAATTCTAAAATTTACAGGCAGCCCGTGCAGAAAGGCTAAAATGGGATATGTGCTTGTTTTTTTT